TATTCCTTAATCTAGACACGGGCTACGGTATGTTTTACATATCAACCACATACAACTTTGATTGTCATAATTGTGTTCTATAAACCACGAGGCATTATAGTAATTTATACATATAACGACATATTAACTTAGATTATACTTTTAATTAACTTAAAATTAAATTCCACCTATGGTCCGGTAATCATATCTGATAGGTGTGACACCTCACCTAGGTGGTGGCGACCCTTGCTACTCTAGCTAGTCGTTATGCAAGTGGCAAACCACGTTGTTGTTACAGGCCGAATTATCATTAATAAAAGCCCGCTTGCAAAACAAAAATACATATCATACAGTTATCGGCCGGCCTTGGTAACCGACTGATGCCGCCAAGCAACCGGAAGACAAAGGGTAAATGAATAGACGGAAACAATAAGCGCGCGCTATATAAGATTTGCATGCGGCGCGAACAATTTGTTATATTCTAAAGTTTTTAACTAATTAATAATAATATCAAAAATTATTGGTGATAGTAAAAATAAAATTGCTGATTTAAAATTATCACAAAAAATAAAATAATAAAAGTATATATTTGCTCCTTTTAAAAAGTTTTTGCAGACTGTTTATTCACAATTAACAACAATATATNGTTTTTGCAGACTGTTTATTCACAATTAACAACAATATATTATCCAAAAATCTGTGTGTCAAGCACTTCAATTTTTATACATATTTGATATAAAAATAATAACTAGTTTATAATTTTTATAAATTCTCCGAAAAATTACAATACTAAATTATTAAGTACTAATTTAATTGCCGTAATTAATAATTATTCTTATATTATACTTCTAATCATGTGGATAGGGGATATGAATACTTCCCTCTGCCAGTCGTAATAGGCGACTAATGAGGTTGCGTGAGGTCGACAACCGGCGTAAATTTTTTTTCAAAAAGTATGAGGAGTTTAAAAAAAATGCTCATAGCCTATCATACAACTCATCATACCTCTTACACTTTGCTTTACTTACTGCACACTTGGCTTCTTTGCACATGCGTTTATTCTCTATCGAATCTTCTCTCCTTTGCTCTACTGCCATACTTTGAATTGCATTTTTTTACTTTCTATGATTTTTTTAACGTTCTCATGCTACCACCACATTTCCTTGTTTCTTGGCATTCTACTCCTACTTTTACCAACAATCTCCTTTGCAGTATTCTTTACACAACTAGCAAATCTATTCCATACATCAATTATGTTTCCCTCGACATTCCACATCGCTCTCTCATTTACCGCCTCTAAAATCTCATTCATTTTCCCCTTTCAATTTCCGCCACTGGTTCCTTGATTTTTCTTCTTGACAAGGCAAGGCCTTTAGTAGAGAAGAAGAAGAAGAAGATCTTTATGTTTTTGTATATTCTCTTCCCACTACACCACAACTCCATTATCATCAATCTATGTTGTGTAGTTACACTCTGCCTGGTATAACTTTACAATATTTTACGATACTGCAAAATCCAGTATTCTTTCTTCTGTCTCAGTCTTCCCACTAAAACCACACCTTCCATGTACTCTTTCATATCCTCTACTGTTATTACCTACATATCCATTCATATCTCTACCTATCACCACATACTCATTGCCAGGTACTTCTTGCATTACCTCACCCATCACTCTCTTTAACACTTCCTTGTGTTTTTCATCTCATTCTACTTGTGGAGCCTATGCACTTATTACATTCAACACTTTTTCTTCGATAATTAATTTTGCGACTATAATTCTGTCACTTTTTCTAATTATGACACGGTCTATAATATCATATTATTCATTTATTGTAAATTAGTACACTATATTAACTCTATTTGCGTGTGCTACTACCAGTCTATAATATTCCAAATTTTTTTTTAACATGTTGCTATATAAATAATAAATTTAAAAAAAATATATTTTTAGTTTCACCTGAATTTTTACAATTGTAATGAAATTTTATAATACGCTCAATTGAGTAAATCTTTTTAACAACTTTTTTGTTATTCGTTCTTTTAGTTAAAGTAAATCATTAAAATTAATTAAATTCTGAATATTTCGATTTTAGAATCTTTTTAATATAATAACAAAAATTAAAATGGTAAAAAGGGGCTAAAGATGCGGTAGAGGATGTAGTATATATGTTAAAATAAAAAGGGGGTAAAGATGAACTGGTATCTTGGGGTCGAACTATATTTATTTATCAAATAATGAAATATCCCTACCTCACTTATTCTTATTCTTGTTTATTACGTGAATTTTTTAGAAGTAAATCATGAAAATAAATATTCGTACTTACCTTTATTTCCTTTTGTAGTTGACTGAGTTGGTCTATGGTGATTTCTTCCTTCAGTGTCAATAATCGTTTATAGTGTCTTGCGTTTATTTCGATTAATTAGTCTCTCTGTGTATATGAGATTTAGAAAAAGGATTCTCTACAATAGGACCTGCGTCTGTTATAATTTGTTACCCTTTTTTTTTACATTCTTTAAATTTTTTTTTTATTATACTATGTTTTTACTAATAATATTCTCGATAAATTCCTTATAGTCGATATCGATAATCTTAAAATTTACTCTGAACTTGTCAAAATATAATTATAAGAATATGTCTATCTATATTCAAAATATAATCAACTAGACTGTGGTAGGCCAGCGTTTCTCAGTGTAAAGCCTTGGCTGGCGTGAACACAGTTAACCTTGTTAATATATATTATACATTATTTCAATACACCTTTTACTACCCTTTACGCTAACTGCCTACACGTTACCGACAGGTAATTGGCATAGTCCCTTGTGGCTGGCAATTAAACAGGCAAAGGTATTACTACTAAGACTAATTAATTCTAATCACAAATTACGCTTCTTCACTCTTTCGGCAAATTGAAGGCTGTCCAGAAATGAAGGGCACAATAATATTTAAATCTTACAAAAAATAAAAACTATATTTATTTCTTATAAGGATATTGGGTAACAGTAAAAATAAATAAAACTTATTTTTTGGTAAAATATTGATAAATCATCTATAACAATGTTCACTATTTAGGATAATATAAAAAAAAACCAGCACAGAGGTGTCGCGGCACAGTGGTAATAGTTGGGTCCAGTATAGATTTAATCTGACAGCGATTAAAATCGCTATCATAGTAAACCCTTTGATACAAATCTGTAGATAGTGTTTAATTTTAAAAAATTGGTAGATTATTCCAAAAGCTGTATGATCTCCTATTTCATTATTTATATACTGATTACAAGTTTAATGATTTATAAGTGTAATATATTTATAACATATAAATATATAAGGGGAAATTATGTTATTTTTAAAAAAAGTATATCGAATGAAAGAGGGATATAAATATTATTTCTCATAAAAAAATTGTATTTATCCATATACATTTCAATAAATTGTAGCGTTATAAAGGAAAAAATATAAAATCGAGAACTTTCACACAAAAATAGCATTCGGTAGCCGTTTTTATCGTGAAGACAAAATAAAGTCCAAATTTTTTTTTCCGTGATAAAAAATATTACATTAGGTTTAATTTTAGATAAATATAATAATCTTAGACTTTCCGGAACACTTTCAAAATTTAAGTTGAAAAAGTTAATTTTTTGTTAAAATGTTGTTTAATCCTCCCCTGTGAGCAGGTAAAGGGTCAAATTTATAAAAAAAATATACCAAATGATAGGTAACTACATCATGTATCTATATATAAAAAAATTATATTGATTTGATCATTTTTAAATGTTATGGCAGTTTTAAGTAAAAAAAATTTCGAAAATTAGTGATTATAAATTTGTAATTTTTTTGGAAATTTCCCCCATTTATGGGTAACGAGGGAAAGTTTTTCAATTTTTAAGTGTAATGTCTTCGACTAGATACAATTAGTGATTTTTTGACGTATCGTTTAAAGAAATCGGTTGGGTAAGAGCTGAAATAAAGTGTTAACAGACACAAAAAAAAAACACACCATAGTAAAACTAATACCTTCTTAGCTTCGCATTGGAGCTAAAATAAATATATAATTGAATATGTATAAGTAATTTATCAAATTTTATTAAATTGAAAATGTGTTTATGCCAATTCCGATATGGCCAACATTCTTTACATGTGTATGAATAGATTGACTAAAATTATTAAGTAAATAATGGTTTAGATTTTAGAATATCAAAAAATAATCAATTATGTTAGAGAATTTTTATTTATGAACACCTATTTAACTAAAAAATTGTCATTAGTTGTTTCAAAATAAAACATTTAAGTAAAAAGAAGAGTAAAAATGGAGGTAAGTAATACACTTTATATAAAGTACTCGGTTGAAATCTAAAATGTTATTTTATTTTCTTTTAGAATTGGCAATTGATATTTTTTTTTATGATAATTTCCTATTTCATATTTAATGAAGGTAATTGCGCATTACATTATTTATGCCTATTAAGTTTATCAAAAATTTTTCTTAATTTATATCTAATATCTAGGACATTTTCAAAATATAATTTTATTAAGTTAATCTTTAATTAGAATGTTTCAATGTTTATGAAATTTCCATGCATAACACGCAGAAGTCGTATTTTCAAATAAAAGTATATTTAAATTCTCAGCTTCGCATCGAAGCTAAAATATATATATATATAATATATTAAAAAAACGATAGCACAGTTGAGTCAGTTATCAAAACAGCATTTAAAAAAATTATATGTCTAATATGTTTTAAAAAAAATTCGAATGTTTTGATTTGTATAAATTTATTAATAGTAATAAAAAATTTAAGCCAAAAATTAAAACACTACGAAATTTGATAAATTCAAATAGTAATTTTTAAGGATATTTCAATCAGTAAAAATGTTATTTTATAGTTTAAATATATTTTTTATGAAATATTCTACATATATTAGACACGCAGGGAAGATATGATAATTCCGTCCACTCATATGAAATGACTCATGATTTCCCAAAATAAAATTTTAGGTAGAATTACCAATATAAAAGGATAATACGCTCTCTATAAGAATAATGATATATCTAATTTTAGTTTCAATGCAAAGCTGAGTTTTTTTTTTGTGTCTGTGAACGCTTAATTTCAGCTCTCACTGGACCGATTTTGATGAAAAATATGTCAAAAGATCACAAATCGTATCTAGTCGAAGACATTACCCTCAAAATTTGAAAAATTCCTTTGTTCCCCGTAAACGGGGAAATTTCACAAAAAATTCTAACTTATACTAGTACTTATACTTTCTTAGCTCTCAAGGAACCGATTTTTTTAATTTCAAAAAAATTCAAAAATATTTGAATAAATTTCCCTTGTTTTTCGTAAATGGGGGAAATCTATATAAAATTACAAATTTAAATATCGTTAATTTTCGACATTTTTAAAATTTTGTTTACTTATAACTGCTATAATTTTTTAAAAAAGACCAAATCAATATAGTTATTTTTATAAATATACGGAGTATTTACCTATAATTTGGTATATATTTTTTAAAAATTTAACCCTTTACCTGCCCACAAAAGGGATTTTAAAATGACAAGTTTTTCACAATAAATTAACTTTTTCAACTTAACTTTTGAAAGTGTTCCAGAAAATCTGACACTTATATATATATATATATATATATATATATCTTAAATTAAAGCTAATGTTTTATACTTTATTATGAAAAAAAATAATTTTGGAATTTATTTTGAGTTTACAGTGAACTGGCTATCGTATGCTATTTTTGTGTTAAAATTAGTGATGGGAAATATCGAA